TGTATTCATGTTATACTTGTACTCCAGATTTACTTTTTATGATAAAGTCTGTTTTGTGTTGTATTCATGTTATACTTGTACTCCAGATTTACTTTTTATGATAAAGTCTGTTTTGTGTTGTATTCATGTTTTTTTCCAGGTATTTTTTCTTGTAGTATCTCTCTCTAACAAGTAAAATATTAAGCTTCACTACCATTGCATGAAGAAACGTTGCAGCTGACAGCCTTTAACATTAGTGTTAACGATTGTATTTAGTTAATAATTTGAGTGTTAGATGATATATTAACATTTATTGTTTGATTCTTGTACCAACCATCAACAAGTTGTCATTTACAAGAACACGATATTTTGAAATTTATTAGTACCAAAATAAACCATATGAAGTTTTTTATTTTTTAACTTTTAGATGGCAGCCACTCTTCAAGTATATGTGGCTGAAGTTCTGCGTTCTCTTGTTCGAACTGAAAGAAACCAACAGGTCATGTGTGATGCTGGTTTTCCTTGTGAATTGTTAACTGTCTGTAAGTTAGCCTTAGAGAACGAAAGTCATCCGCTCCATGGAGCAATGCAATATATGCTTGAACGACTTGCAGCTCAAGCCCTTGAACCTAGGGATCTAAGGTAAACAAAGTCTTATGTTGTGTCATCTACTACTTGGCTTGCTTCGATGAAAACCATAGCAACTTAAAAACTAGTTCATTATCTTGACATAAAATTTACCAGTTTCCTTTAGTATGGTGTGTAGCTTTTGAAAAGGTTTTTTGTTGTACAAAACTTGAAGATAGCTTTGATATACGAAAACATTTGTTAGCTAAGTTCTTGCACAGATCTTAAAATAATACGTTTATAAATGGAGCCGATGTTTCCATTTATGAACGTTATATTTTAAGATCTGTGTAGCTTTTGTGTCTCATACAAGACACACTATGGAATACCTCAATGTTAGAATCTACATTTTTTTTCCATCTTAACTCTTTATGTGTTTTAATGCCTATATTTTGAATTTGGAGAGCTGCTATTTAGTTTTGTTTAAAAGTTTGACAAAGTATTTACAAAACTCAGTGTTTACATTTTTTATTTCTGCAGAATAATACAAATTTTTTCTTTGCCTTTTACTCCTGTATCAAAATAGTTTTTTGTTTTTCACTAAGCTGTTCATAATGCAGAATTATATTCTGTATTTAAGATTTGTTTCAAATTCTTGTAACAGCTGATTAGTTTGTACTAAAAGTTATGAAACGGAACAGTTGTTGTTCGATGATTGACTCGAGACAAATTATTCTGTTACTTCAAACGTGTTATTTGTAAACTGTGAATTAATATATTCTTGTATGTTTAGTTATTGTTGCTAGATTAATTTTACAAAATCTGGATCATTCATTACTTTGTCGGCATTTACACCAGACTTCACTGTGACTGTTGGTAGATTATTAGTGACAGCCTCAGTTAAATCATTCAAACAACCATTTTACAGTAGTCAATCATTTTACTGGTGCCGCACTAATAATCTACCAACAGTCACAGTGAAGTCTGGTGTAAATGCCGACAAAGTAATGAATGATCCAGATTTTGTAAAATTAATCTAGCAACAATAATTAAACATACAAGAATATACTAATTC